GTCTGTTCACCCTTGTGTGTGTGTGTGTGTGTGTGTGTGTGTGAATGAGTTAAAAAACTTAGTTACGGTAGGCTACACATTCAAAAATAAAATTTCAAGCTCTCTGAATGATTAATTAGCCGTTTAAACCACCTCATCATGTGAGTGTTTGCAATTCATTTTGCTGCTAAGCTAGCGCAGTGAACGGGGCTTGAGTGAGCTTGAGCGCGGTGTGAGTGAGATCGCGGGTGCCAGATCCCGTGTTGCAATGCCAGATCCACATAATGGAAAGGTGACAGTAGTATTCTGGACTTGTTTTTTGGATTAATGTCACAGTTTAGGAAGTTATTAAAGTGGTTCGTGATATATTAATCTTATTTCCAAAACACAAGCTTTGAACTTATTTCGGATTTTTATCATTTCTTTGTTTTTGTTTGTTTTTGCTGGTTTTTCGTAGCAATATCTGGCAACATTGTTCTGTCGGCATTAATAAAAAAAAAGATTAGGCTGAAGATACAAACGCAATGATCATCGTGACGTGTAAGAATCTGTAAGAAATGTATAACATTATCAAAAACAATAGCATAATACAGATCTGTATGTTACAGAATGATATATGCCAAATACTGGCCAGCAGGAACACGGCAGATGCTGTTAAGTTAACCTTTCACAAAGTCAACATAAAAACATTAATTGAAGCAGTGTTTCTAGTAGTCCACACCATTTTCGTCTTTCTTCTGTGGATTTTCTCAGCTCCTGATTGGTCAAATTCAGATAGATCGACAAATCGGCTCATTCAACCGCACACACCTCACGAATGCAAGCCGACAGCTCCCGAACTTTTTCGACATGCTTAAAAATTATCGGAAGGTCGAGAGGTGCTCGGCTCGTATTTTCCTCGCACACGATACGAGCCGCGACATGCGAGCATAACCGATTTACACGCGATTTCTCCCGAGAGAAAAAAAATCATCTGCGAGCTCGTAAAACAGCTAAAAATCGCACCGTGTACGCCCGCCTTTAGTTGTTGGCAGAGTATCCGAGGCTCGAGCTGTAGAGGCTCCGCCCTCTTCTGGAAAACGGGGAGCAGCAGCTCATTTGCATTTAAAGATACATGCACGAAAAAAAGGCCATTTACAACATTAAAGGGTCCCCATTAAAAAGAATCATACGAGAATGCTTTCGTCCCTTCGGGAACGGAGGCTCACCGCGTCATTCTTTCGGTGGACCATAAATGGCGGATGATTTTACAGGCAGTGTTTTCGTCATCTGCTCACATGGCATCTGTGCTGGAAATTCATTAATCGACAATGAGTTGTATTACAGGCTTTAACATCTTTGCTATTCCAGCTTTCCTGTAGCTCAAACGGTAGAGCGTTCAAGGTCATGGATTCGAATCCCAGGGAAAGCAAGAACTGATAAGAATGTTAAAATGTGTACCTTGAAATGCAATGTAAATCGCTTTGGATAAATGCGTCTGCTAAATGTTTGTGTGAAATGCTTTTGCTTGTAAATTCTTTATTTTAACGACGGATGATTCCTTTTTGAATGATTCGTTGTGTTAATAATGTTGCTCAGTAGTTATTGCTACTGTCATATATTCCCCATGTCTTTTCTGGACTTTTGTTGTATTTCCTGTCGTAGTGCCATGTTTTGTAGTCCTTTGTAGTTTTTCTTGTTGATTAGTTCTTTGATTGTTCCCAGGTGTGTCTTGTCTGCCAATCACCTATTGTGTGCATACTATACCCCAGTATTTCTCATGTTCCTTGTCTTTATCTCCAGCCCACACTTCAATTCAGTAGGTGGCCGGTAATGCACCATTAATGTTGGATGCCAACCGCCGTTAAACAACAAAGAAAAAGAAGAAGAAAAAGATGTTCCTTGTCTGGTGTTGTCCTTTCATGGATGATACGTGTGTGCTTGTTGTCAGTTTTGTTCATCTTCCTTGCTTGTGTCTGGATTTGTTTGAATGAATGTTTGCTGCATCTGGATCCTACTCTCGTTCCTCTGAAACAGCCATTGTTATATACAGATACAAGCCATAACTAATACAAGGGTAGTAGAATAATAACAAGGTTGTGAGGAATAAATGCTAACGAACATTTTTCCAAAAAGCTTTCAGTAGACAAAAACTCCATGAAATGTTCTTGAAAGTTGTTACATGTGATCTAAAAGGTTTATACAGTGGATGCTGAACTGTAAAGACTGTAAGTCTGTCCCTCACAGCCTCAATTTCATTAGTGCAAAACTCAATATGGCGTCGACCCTGACTAAGGTCTATAGTTGGACCATCTTCTCTTTATTTACGGATGTGACATGAACACAAAAAAACATATGATGTGAAACTGAAAATTCCCACAAAATATGACTTGACGACTCGTGAATCAGGGTAAGTCAAGTAGATTTTTTTCCTAACAGTGGAGCTTGATGTTAAAGTTATTCTGCCCATTTAACCACTTCCCTGCGGTCGGTGTACATGCAACCCTGCAGGGGTGTGTATATGTTGTGATGACAAAATTATCAGTTTCTGTATATCCTAAAGGGGATCTCTGGTGGTGATTAATGCATTGGATTAGAAAAAAAAACTATATGATTGTTCAAAATATCTCAAAATCAAGTACTGATTCTTGCATTTCCACAAATGATCCACGTACATTCACATAAAGGATTATTAGGAACACCTGTTCAATTTCTCATTAATGCAGATATCTAATCAACCAATCACATGGTGGTTGCTTCAATGCATTTAGGGGTGTGGTCCTGGTCAAGACAATCTCCTGAACTCCAAACTGAATGTCAGAATGGGAAAGAAAGGTGATTTAAGCAATTTTGAGCGTGGCATGGTTGTTGGTGCCAGACGGGCCTGGCCTGAGTATTTCACAATCTGCTCAGTTACTGGGATTTTCACGCACAACCATTTCTAGGGTTTACAAAGAATGGTGTGAAAAGGGGAAAACATCCAGTATGCGGCAGTCCTGTGGGCGAAAATGCCTTGTTGATGCTAGAGGTCAGAGGAGAATGGACCGAATGATTCAAGCTGATAGAAGAGCAACTTTGACTGAAATAACCACTCGTTACAACCGAGGTATGCAGCAAAGCATTTGTGAAGCCACAACACACACAACCTTGAGGCGGATGGGCTACAACAGCAGAAGACCCCACCGGGTACCACTCATCTCCACTGCAAATAGGAAAAAGAGGCTACAATTTGCAAGAGCTCACCAAAATTGGACAGTTGAAGACTGGAAAAATGTTGCCTGGTCTGATGAGTCTCGATTTCTGTTGAGACATTCAGATGGTAGAGTCAGAATTTGGTGTAAACAGAATGAGAACATGGATCCATCATGCCTTGTTACCACTGTGCAGGCTGGTGGTGGTGGTGTAATGGTGTGGGGGATGTTTTCTTGGCACACTTTAGGCCCCTTAGTGCCAATTGGGCATTGTTTAAATGCCACGGCCTACCTGAGCATTGCTTCTGACCATGTCCATCCCTTTATGGCCACCATGTACCCATCCTCTGATGGCTACTTCCAGCAGGATAATGCACCATGTCACAAAGCTCGAATCATTTCAAATTGGTTTCTTGAACATGACAATGAGTTCACAGTACTAAAATGGCCCCCACAGTCACCAGATCTCAACCCAATAGAGCATCTTTGGGATGTGGTGGAACGGGAGCTTCGTGCCCTGGATGTCCATCCCACAAATCTCCATCAAATGCAAGATGCTATCCTATCAATATGGGCCAACATTTCTAAAGAATGCTTTCAGCACCTTGTTGAATCAATGCCACGTAGAATTAAGGCAGTTCTGAAGGCGAAAGGGGGTCAAACACAGTATTAGTATGCTGTTCCTAATAATTCTTTAGGTGAGTGTATTTTGACATATAAGAGGTCATTGTACTATAAAACATTCTGTAAGTTTAAGAACTCAAAACTTCCTCATTAGGCCTGGTTCAAAAACTCCTTTTATTGAAACCAATGACTCATTTCGGATTTTGTCACATTATGAAGTAATAGAGCGACGAAAGATTGCAGAATCAGATCTAAGGCTACTTCTACATCATCACATCTCGCCCACTGGCACATTAGTGAGACGGGAAAGAAAGAAGAGGATCAAATAACATTACCTTCCAGAGGATCTTAATGCAATGAAAGTGCTTATTTATTTTCAACAATGTGAATGTCTCAGTAGAGCATTATTGGTTTGTTCGGTGCATTTCACTGTGGATTCATTGGTAAATCAGTCGCAATTTCGGCACAGGCTTTGCAAACAGACTTATACTTTAAGATATGGACCCGACAGTAATGTCACAAGTTGTCCTCCAAATATGAACTCACGCCATATCAAGCCTACATTAAAGAGTCTAAGGGCAGATTGTTTGCTTTCATTGCATTACTATGTTGCATTTTCTTTTTGGTTCGGTTCTATAACGTTTCAAAACATACCAGTCACATGTAAGTAAAACTGTCCTCTTATTGGTCAGAGTTTCCTCTGCGTCATCCATCAAGATGATTGACAAGTTCGCTCTGCTTGGCTTTATCTGTAGCTGTCGAGATACACGCAAACACTGAAATGAATAGTCATCATTCCCGCTTTAACTGATAGATTAAAGCTACATTTATATATATCTGAGCGCACTTGCCATGTTCATATATCCCAAACTGAACTAAAGGAGAAACGCACCAGGTTCCCAAACAAATGCTCCAAATGACCTTAAGTATGGGCATTTCTTTATAACATTATTATTTATGACTTTAGAATCTGCAATGAGCAGATCAGATAATTGAATTAATTGTTGTGTCATCCTGAAATGTGCCTACAGTATGTTATATATTGTCTGTTTTTTTGTTGTTTTAAAAAAACATATTTATTACCTTAATGGTGAGGTAAGGTTTTAATTTATATAAATGATTATGATAATGTATATCATCATCATATAGCGATGTTAAAGCATTAAGGCATTATAGACAACAGTATGACTGTTGTAAAGCTGCTATAAATGATAAAAAATAGCACCATACAAATACAATTAACTTTATGTCATGAGGGTCTTAGGATGATGTGTGCCAAGTTTCATATGAACTGAAAACTTTATCGTTCTGGTGATGATGAAATATGAAGACCCATGTTTCAATGTCCAACTGCTTCAAAAGGCCCTGAACTGAAGCGTGACACAGAACTGCAGCTCTTTTATGAGTTTACAGACACATCACACTCAATATAACATTATTATATTAAATAACACCTTTAATACTAGCTGCATATTCCCATTTATATACTGTCTATCTCCAGCTAGATCCAGCTGTCCTCCAAAAATGTTCTTTCGATCTGCAGAACACTGAAGAAAACGCAACTTACAATAAAAATGTGTAGCAGTGTGTGTTTATGGTCAGTGCAAGTCCACTGCAGTCTCTGGTCAGCGTCCATGTTTCTGAGGAATATTATATTGTCCCATCACTCCAGTGGGTGGCCCATTGCTTTTTGTGCAAAATAAAAGTCTTGTCCAGAAATGGCGTCTCTTGCCGCAGGATCTTCACAGCCTGATACTGGGGCACTTGATCTTCATACCGAACCCTATGGAAGAAACCACACTGCAAAAGAGAAAGAGGTCGAATGAGATAAAGATTTATATACAGTATAGCAAAAAATAAAATCAGCTTGAAACACACGGTGTGACCTTGATGCCAGGGTCCAAAGTTAACACATGCTCAGAGCCAAATGTGAGTAAAAATTAATAACTTTTAGGGTTAGAACTATATGATCTATATGTTCAAAGTTCCATAGTAATAATTCATAATCCTCCATTGGCAAGTGTGGCAGGACATTTATTCACAGCATGCTTGTCTGTTTCAGCTAAAGATGCTTTAGCTTTATCAAACTCTGTGATAAAGTTAGTGCTCGACATGCTGCTGCTCATCACATTTCAACAGAACATGTCTTTTGATAAAGTCTAATGACCTATTCACATGTAATATTTGCACATCTTTTATACTTAGATCAAACTTTTAGTAGATCAGGATGTTCTCAATTGTTTTCCTTGTCCTAAGCATCAACATCAATGCAACTTTCTGAAGCATTGATGAATACAAAACAGATTTCCATCATCTTCATAGAACCGCAGGCTATAATTCTTGAAGAATGATTCTTATTGTTCAATATTTGTTGATTACATGCATATAACACCCTCATGCACTATGAGTCATTACCCAAGTCAATTCGTAAATAAAAATGATTGAAAATCTGTGTCCTGCATTTAGGCGCAATATATAAATCATGCAGATGTTCATTAGTTAAAACTCCGGGTAAAGTAGCGTTCTGCTTTTCAAAGTATACTCCTTGGCCCGTGAACGTGAAAAGATCTAGTGGACTTTAGTTTCCAAGTGCTCAGATCACACTGGCTGCGTCCAAAAGATTAAAAATGTTGCCTTCAGAGGATGCATTTCAAGGAAGGAATCCAGAGTTAGCTTCACTTTCTGTCTCCTGAGATGCCTTTATCTGATCGATATTAGAGTTAGATGTACTGTACTTCGCTGCCTTTGATATCCCACAATCCTGTGCTTTCCATTCTGTGACAGTAGAGCTAAAAAAAAAGTAGAGCTTGGTTTGGGTTTTGTTTTCGCTTTCATATCTTTTATTTTGTAATTTGGTTGGTCAAGATTCCTGGTTTTGTCATGTGATTCCCTTCCCATCATGCTATCATGTCATGTGCTTCCCTAGTCTCTTGTGTCATAATTGTATTGGTTTATTGGTTCATTGTGTTCAGGTGTGTCTTGTTAAGTCGTTAGTCTTGTGTGTTCAAGCCAAGCTTAATCAAGTCATGTCATGCTTAGTCGAGTCTTTGTTCTTTTTTTTTTGCACATTTATGTTATTGTTGCATGTATGCTCTGTCTTGTGTGGTTTTGGTTCAGTCCCTGTGACCGAGTTTTCCCCGGTCATTCACCTGTGCCCTGTTAATCTCTTATCTCCCTAGTTCTAGAATATACGTCCGTGTCTTTCAGTTCTTTGTCCGATCTCGTCTGTGCGTAACTGTTATGTTAGTGTGTGGATTTTCCTTTGAATTCTCCCTCGTTGTGCGACAACATAGCGCTACCTGACAGTTGTCATTACAGAACTATTAGAATAATACATTCCGGTAACACTTTATTTTACAGTGTCCTTGTTACATATGTTTCATGTAGTTACTATAGTAATAACTATAAATTATGCATAATTACATGCAACTAACTCTAAACAAAACCCTAATCCTGACCCTATAGTAAGTACATGTAGTTAATTATTATTACTCAGCACTTAAATGTATAATTACATTGTAACACAGACAGCTTAAAATAAAGTGTAACCTAAATGCCCTAGTGGTGCTGCAAAACCAGAAGGTCTGGCCCTGACGCTTCAATGCAACTCTTATTAGATCACGGATATTCCCAGCAGTATTACTTAGGCACTGGTTATCATGTGCCTAAGTAATACTTCTAGTCTGTAAAGCCACACCACAGCACCACACACTCGAGTTGTACCACATGACGGATGTGGACGAGGCTGTTATTGAAGGTCTCTCTCCGCATCCGACGGCTGAAGCTGAAGCTCAGCGTGGTAATACTCCGTCTCATAGTGAGGCTTCCTCTCGGTGCGCTTGAAAAAACCACACTGCTCCGCCACACGGGGAAATACAACACAAATATGTATAGGTACAGAAAGAAGGAAACATTAAGAACTAGCGATGGGTGGTTAAATCATTAGAAGTATTGTATAGACAATAATATGCATAATTGGAAAAGGCAATCAATTCAGTCACATATGCACAGTGACTACTTTTAGACGCACCAAAAAGTTAATTTTGGTGCATTTTTGGCTAGAAAAATAGAAGTACATGACTGACAACTAGTTAGTTCACCAGTGATCACAACATGATCACCATTACTAAACCGCCACTCTATCATGACCATGTCAACATGCCAAATTATTCTTTTGGGCATCCACAATGACTAGATGATCAAATGATTGGAAAATCCTCATGGAGGTTATGGGTGCATAATCACTGCAAAAAATGATTTTCTTCCTCAGTGTTTTTGTCTTGTTTTCCAATACAAATACTGTATATAAACATTCTGAAATCAAGGTATATATTTACTGGAGAAGCAAAATGACATAGCTAACTGAATGAGTTTTTGCTTAAAACAAGAAAATATCTGCCAATGGGGTCCGAAAATCTTGTTTTTTTTTTTACCTTGAATGCATGTAAACCTATTGTAGCAGACTCCAAAACAAAATTAGGAAACTTTACAATAACATAATAGTCACTTCAATTTTTCAGAAAACAAGACTTAACATCTTAGAAATTTGTACTGGAAAAAAAGGCAAAAATACTGAGGGAAAGCAAAAATCCTCTTTTGCAGTGTGCAGGTTGTGCTTGTTGAGGGTGTACACTCACCTTCCACAGTACACACACGAGCAGCGCCAGAACAATAACTCCAGCCAGGACGGCGATGAGAATGATCCACCACGGGATCGAGTGCTGGTCTGCGAGCCCATGCTCTGGGTAAACCATCACTGACACCTGCACAAACACAAACACTGATGACACGAACACGTGTGTGAGTGTGTGTGAGTGTGTGTGATATCTGACCTGTGTGGCGGCGTCCTTCAGCACTAGATGCCTGATGTCGGATTTAATGGTGATGTTGGCTCTGACCAGCAGCTCCACGGCACTGACAGAAGAAAACTCCTAATAAACAGGACAAGTGCACTCACTATGAACCCTGGGCACATTTATGGACATCACTGATAATCGCTGATGAATTATATGTGTTTGCTGTGGCGCCGTTTTCTTGTCTGTAACTGTGTTTACATCTTTTAACCCACAGTAAATATTAACAATTACTTTTGTTGTAAAGGTACTTGCAACATTCTCAGCTGAAATTTTCACACTTTAAAAAATAAATATGCGTGTCAATCACGTTGACACACTGCCTCCGAAACTTCCGTCCGTCATAAGACAATTCGGATCGGGGGATAAATTTTCTGTGTTTTTCGCATTCGTAGGAAGCATTTTGAGAGTTTTTTCGACAATTCAGAGCCACTGTACAAACAAACGCCAAAATCCAAAACTGTTCAGGATCAACAGGTTCATGGAAATTGGTGGTCTTCTTTTTAATACTTTAAAAAGCTAGCGATACTGGAGCTTTAAAAAGAGCTCCAGTATCGCTAGCAAAGCATCAAACTGAGCCACTGATATTCTGAAGTAAACTCTGATCTCTCCTTCCTCTCTACGCAATCTCAGGATTAGATGGACCCAATATTTCCTCTTATTTCTCTTTTTAAGAAGAGAGAGGACAACCAAATCATCCTCACTTCTTGAAGACTCCATTTTGTATTGTTTTGCCATTTTTTTCGCAATGGATTAACTAATACGCATCGGACTCGGTGTGCAAGGTTTCTGTGCGTGACGAATTTTTAGGATGACGAATACAAAAAAATGCATACTTTTTTTTTGCCTCCGTTTGCCAGGACCTTAACTCGCCATTGAGCTAATAGTTACTGTCCCACCATATCAAGAGGACAACCGACGTGTAAGAGCGACTGTCTCTCACCTCAATGAAAGTGCTGTTCCACAAGTTTGCTCGGATCCTGATATGGATGGAGTCGGAGAACGTGTCTAGAGGACACCGGAAGAGCAGGCAGCGCGCAGAGCCCAGTAAACAATCCTGAAACACACCAGCCGCACACATCCATCACAATCAACAGCACATTAAGGATTGATATGGTCGCAAAGTCATTTCTCGTTGTGTGTACTCTGGCTCACACTCACCAGTGTGAGAGACTTCCTCCTCTCGGACGCAGACACAGCTGGAGTGATTCTGCCCACAGGCTTTTTGGGACCCACGTCTGCTTCGGTCTCCAGATGCGAGCGCACCTTTCTGCTGCTCTGTTTACAGATGATGCATGTAAATGTCTCTTGCATTTATTGATAAGCAGTAGCTTCATTTGATGGGTGTTAAGGCCCGTTCACATCAAGCACGATAACTATAAAGATAACTATAACGATAACTATATTTGCGTCGACACCAACGATGATTACGGTCTGTTTATTCTAAGTTCGCGTTAGGCTTGGGCGGTATCCAAATTTTGATACCGTCAAACCTCCTCCCTATTTTACCGCGGTATACGGTATTACCGCGTGACTAATTAAAAATTATTACATAAGGCTCAGACGGCATCACCAAACTGTTGGTTTGTGCAGGGATGAGTCACAATTTTCGAATATTCAATTATTTGATTTTATTATAGAATATGGAATAGGTTGTGGGATTATTGTCTATAAAAAATCCCCATGTTTTCCGTTCTGATGCGGTGGTGACACGTTCAACCAGAGGGTGGCGATGCCAATAATGCATCTAAAAGCTGTCAATCAACTCTCAGACAACAGGAGAAGATGCACATTGTGAGCGGAGCATGTGAGCGGAGTGGTAATATTTCCTCCAGAGCAGAGAGCGCATTTCTGAAGATCACGCGCCGCGTGCTCAGTCCACTCAGCGTCGCGCGCTCAGCATGCCCGCAGTGACATGCTGGTTAGAAAACATGTGAAGTAGGGCTGCCCGTGCATGACTTAAACAATTTTTTTTCTAGTTGACTAGTAGTAGTTGATTTAAGCTATTAGTCTAATCATTTATATTGATTAAATTACTTAAATATATATAGGAGAGAATGCTAAACCATAATGAGCGTTTTCGTAATATATAGCCTATTCTGCATCTCAAAGCACACATAAAGCTTGCCACAAAGAACCGGCAAAAGTAATTATTATGCATGAAACATTTTAATTGTTTATTAATAAAAAACTTTCTATGTCAGTGGCTGCACAGATAAAGTTTACGATGCAGACTCGCATCTTCGCAGTAGTGAACGCGCATAGAGAGAAATGCACACTTCATATGAATTAGCCTACAGAGAGCAGCCCATTTCTTTTAGTTTTTAATTGTTTTGTTTAAAAGTAGACATTTCAAGCTTTCTATATATATACACTTCTCAGATATTTAAGGCATCTATCTTATACGCTGAGTTTCGTTTATTTTAGGAGACGCGCTCCAGTTCACGCGCCGGCTTATATTGTCTAATATATATCCTTCTTATTTATTAATCCAGGCAATTCGTTGATGAAACATTGATTAAAATGAAGATACAATTTATGCGAAACGAAATTAACTTTAAAGAAAGGCTTTCTACAAAACAAAACGTAATAAGTGGTCAAAAATCATGTCTGACCCATTCCAAATGTTTTCCGATATTGGCCATCTTATGATCCTATCTTATTCATCTCATGCAGTTTCCTTTTCATATAAATCAACATAGATGAAATAAAAAAACAAAAACAAATTATATTATTAAACATAAATATGAAAAGAAATGAGTTTTTTATTTATTTATTACTTATAGCCTATTTAAGTGTCACACTGCTCCGCTGTATAGCTGTGTAGCCTACATGCATGTGTGCGTGCATATGGTGGAGGGGTGCTATTTTCGAATAATAATTAAATAATACCAGGCGATCTTCAAATATTATTTTTGCTTGAAATGCCCATCCCTGCCAAACTGCAGAAGTCGTGTTCTTCTTCGAGACCAGGTCACTCGTTGCGCAACTTGCCATCTTTCCCCCTCTCTTTCTCCTCCACACTGTCACGTGATGACAACCACACATAAGCATTTTTAGCCATTAAATAAATTATATTTAATCCTTTTCTCCTATATAAGTGCATTGGATTTTTTTTTATGACGGTATGACGATATTGAAACTGATACCGTTGCTATTTTTAGATCCCGCGGTATACGATATTACCGTATTACCGCCCAAGCCTAGTTCGCGTGCTGCGGTTTCAAAATGTGTACCGTCAAAATGTGAACATGTTTTTGCTGTTCTTGTTGCATTTACAGGCTTTAGCCAGCAGATGTCCTCAGCATGCTGTGTTTCGAGTGAAGCTAGTGTAATCCATCTAATAATCTAAAGCCCAATTTATACTTCTGCGTCGAACTCACGCCGTAGCTACGTCGTAGGCTGTGTGTAGCGCGCGTACCCTTCGGCATACCCTGACGTGCACCTCTCCAAAAATGTAACAACGCGTCAATTCTACGCGTACCACAAGCGCTGTGATTGGTCTGCTAGAACCGCTCCCCGGCTTTTACATGCTCCCTCTGCCTGTGTAATTGCGCGTCAACGCGGACAACGACGCAGAAGTATAAATGAAAACCAACGCGTAGTCTATAGCGTAGAGGCTCCGGCGTAGGTCCAACGTAGAAGTATAAATTAGCCTTAACAGTGAATTTAGCTGACGGAGTCAATATAGTGGAATAAAAACAACACCTAGTCTTTTTCACCGTCACTTCAAAGGAAGCAAGACAATTTTGTGGAAACGAGCGCTGGAAACTCGAGGTAATACTTCTCATCATTTATTCAGAGGGTATGAACGATTGTTCTTTTATGAGAGGTTCTCTCGTATTGCGTAAGCTAGCTTACGCTATGGGAAAGATACATCTTTTCGAGATATTGAAGCCAAAAATTATCCTTAATTTTGTATTTATTGTCAACGCAGTGCAGCAGCTGCCAGACCTAGAGCGGGCTATCTAGCGAGCTTATAGGCTGCTCTGCGGCAACTGCAGGAGACCGCCATCTGATCTGCGCTCTCTGCCTGGGCCAGGAACACGCAGCTCTCGCCCTTGCCGACGGCGGATGCGAGCTCTGCGAAGAACTCCCGTTGTCGTCCCTGCGGGCTCGACTTCAGGGTTTCAACGTCGAAGCCGCCGCGCCGCCTTTCGTTGCACCGCGCAGGAAGAAGCGCCGTTCACAAAGGCCACCAGAACCCGCGACTACTGCGAATGCCTCGCCGGAGCCTCTCCCTCGAGCTTCGCCTTCCCCGCCCCCCACAGACGCGCCGTTGCCGCCGAGTGGCCGCATCGTCGTCACGACGGATGAAGAGGCGGAAGAGAACGTCACTCGTGACTGTTGCTCTATCTTGGCTTCAGACAGCGAGGAGTGGTCAGGCTCTCACTCTGCTTTCTCCTCGATTCAAGAATCTGGCCGGACCCGTGCTGGAGTGGAAAACGAGCTTATGCGCCTCCTCTCACAGGCCGTCGACCGCCCTGGGCTCGAGTGGTCACCGCCTACGGAGTCTGCGCCCAACAGGCTCGACGGCTGCTTCCTCCAAAGCCGCCGCCACCCAGCGCCCGTGACCCCGGGCCGCGCCCTTCCTGCCGGAACTCCACGCCGAACTTTCTAAATCGTGAAGCGCCCTTCTCGGCCAGGATTCACTCACACGTCTCCGCGTCACTCTCTGCTGTGGACGGCGCCGCGGAGAAGGGCTATACAGCTATTCCCCCTGTCGAGGACTTGGTTGCAGCACACCTTTGTCCGCCCTCCGCGAGATGGCGTTCAAAGCCCGTGCTCCCGTCTAAGGCCTGCAGAACAACATCCGCTTTCATTGGCCGCGCCTACGCCGCCGCCGGTCAAGCTGCATCTGCTCTGCACTCTATGGCCGTCCATCAGATCCTCCAGGCTGACCTCCTTCGTGAGTGGGATGGGAAAGGCAGGAAACCAGAAGCTGTCACGGATTTGAGGAGCGTGACGGACCTGTCCCTTCGCGCCACAAAGTCTGCAGCTCTAGCACTGGGAAAATGTATGGCCTCGCTGACTGTTACAGAGAGGCACCTCTGGCTGACGTTCGCGGACATGGGGGAATCTGAACGTGCCACGTTTCTCAGAAAGAGAAATCAGGGCTTGCGCCCCCCTGAGAAATCAGGGCTTGCGAATACTGAACTATCTGGACGATTGGCTGATTTTGGCACAATCAGACACGTCCGTTCGGACAACATGTCCGTGGTGTCCTATCTGAACCGTCAGGGCAGAGTCAGATCCAGGAACCTCTGCGATCTGGCAGAACGCATACTAGTTTGGTCTCAGCGTCACCTGCGCTCGCTGAGAGCGACGCACGTGCCAGGCCACCTGAACGACGGCCCGGACAGACTGTCCAGGGACAACGTCCCCCCAGGGGAATGGTCCCTGCGCCCCCAAACAGTCCAGAAACTATGGCGCCTATTTGGCAGAGCGGATGTCGACCTTTTCGCGTCAGAAGACAACGCTCACTGCCCAGTGTTCTTCTCGAAGAGCGAGGACTTGCTGGCCCAGGACTGGCCCAGCCGCCCGCTTTACGCCTTCCCGCCTGTCTCATTGTTACCACAGGTAATAAAGAGAATCAGGGAAATGCGCCAGTCGGTGCTCCTCATAGCCCCGCGTTGGGAGAATCAGGCTTGGTTCCCGGAGCTTATGCAGCTGTCACAGACAGCCCCGTGGCCCATTCCGGTGAGATGAGATCTCCTCTCTCAGGCTCGCAGCTCGATCTGGCATCCCCACCCAGAGCGCTGGTCGCTGCATGCGTGGGTGATCAACGACTACCCGTTGCTCTGCCAGAAGGAGTAATAAACACGATCGTGCATGCCAGAGCTCTTTCTACCAGAAAGCTCTATGCGTCTAAATGGTCTGTGTTTTCTAAATGGTGCACCGACAAAAATCTGGACCCACGGGAATGTGGGGTTTCGTGGCTGCTCGTGTTTTTACAAGAGCTATTGGATAAGGATAGGTCCCCATCCACGCTCAAAGTATATGTGGCGGCCGTTGCAGCGTTCACAGAACCTCTGCACGGCCAAAGTGATTGGTACTCCCTTCAGAGCGCAGATAATTTCCCTATCGGCTCTGCCAGCATCCGATAGCGAATGCGACGCTAATCTCCTCTGCCCAGTCAGAGCGTTGAGATTATACACTGCGCGCTCCGCCTCTTTCAGACGCACGGAGCAGCTATTCGTTTCGTTTGGTGGGCGCACTAAAGGTCTCGAAACAGACACTGTCCAGGTGGATAGTGGACGCTATCGCGGCTGCTTACACGTCAAAAGGCTTGCAATGCCCTTTGGGCGTCAGGGCTCACTCCACTAAAGGCATGGCCTCATCGTGGGCGTGGTCCAGCGGGATTTCCATCCACGACATATGTGTGGCAGCGGGCTGGGCTTCCCCGTCCACCTTTTGTCAGATTTTACAATCTGGAAGTTCCCCGCCTGCAGGCAAAGCTTCTGGTGGTATAAGTGTGATACTATCATTATCATCAGCTCTCCTGGTTGAGCTGCACTACTGGGTTGCTATATGCATACACAGACCAGCGCCGCCACTCTGCTCTTCCCTTTAAGTGCTTATGTACATGCGCTGGCCCGCACTGCTGCTGGCCACCTTATTATTCCCACTCTGTAGTGGATGCTGGGCGCGCACGGCGTTGACAAAGGGTTCCCGTAGCGTAAGCTAGCTTACGCAATACGAGAGAACCTCTCGTAAGAGAACGTATCGGTTGCCTAACGTAACCTCGGTTCTCTCTAGAAGAGGGAACGAGTATTGCGTAACCGGCCGAGCTCGCGCCACGAGCGACTTTAGCTTCAGTCGATGAAAACCAGGGAAGCAGCCTCTGAACCTCGCTTATATACACATAGCCACACCCATTCTGGCGGGCTGTGATGCCATGAGGGCGCAAGCGCCTCTCATTGGGTGTGACATCACGCCAGGTTCACTAATAGGCTGCTGCAGTTGCCGCAGAGCAGCCTATGAGCTCGCTAGATAGCCCGCTCTAGGTCTGGCAGCTGCTGCACTGCGTTGACAATAAATACAAAATAAAGGATAATTTTTGGCTTCAATATCTCGAAAAGATGAATCTTTCCCGTAGCGTAAGCTAGCTTACGCAATACTCGTTCCCTCTTCTAGAGAGAACCGAGGTTACGTTAGGTAACCGATACGTTTTCCATGTCCATTTTCTTGAAAAGGGGCTCGACTTGTCAAACAGTGCTGGATTTTTCTGGACCTCGGCGATTAACTTCTCCACAATGTCGTCTGTCGTTTTAAAAGCGCGAGCCCATTAAATGCGAGTGGATTCTGATTGGCTGTCAGTGTTTTATCGTTCGACAGCTGAAAAAAAAATCGTTCTGAAAGTGATCCCAACGATATCGTTCCTCGTATCTTTATCGTTATAGTTGTGGTGTGAACTCTACTATTCTTTAATATGGAGAACGATTTTAGAACTATATCTTTATGGTTATCTTTATAGTTATGATCCTTGGTGTGAACGGGCCTTTACCTTGAGGTTTTCAGCCTGTGGTGATTGATGTTCGCCCAGACGCAGAGGGTCGAGCGCAGACTGAGGTTCACAGAGAGTGTGTGGATGTCCGTCGACCTGCAGAGACCTTGGGTACAACAGCCACTTCTTGTTGATCAGCTCGTACGGCCACATGATGTTCAGAGACGCCGAGCCGAACGTTTGCAGAGGCTGCCCAGCATTAGACACCTGTTAACACACACTGAGTTATTTCTGTCCTGTTCCATCCATTTCTCCATACAGTTTATCCAAAAACTAGATGATTTGGTGAGAGCAAATGGAGACTTCTTTTAAAATCTCCTTCTTCTCACCGTAATCTCACATGTATCTCCTGTTTAAAGAGGACATCTTATGCTTTTTTTCATGTTCATCTTTCTCTAGTGTGTAATGTTGCTGTTTGAGCATGAAAAAGGTCTGCAAAGCTCCAGTTCTTCTCTATATCAGTGTCAGTGTTTCTGAACTCCTGAAACGCCTCCATTGTAGTCTTGAGTTTCTTCCGGGAACGAACACGTCACAATATTCCTAATATAAATAATTCATACGCAGAATAAAGGGGCGGGGCCTGGTTGAGTCAGTTAGTAGGGTGTTGAAACTGGAGGTTATGGTAAGGGGCGGGACATTTCCCAAACACACTTGAAGCGCTCGAACAATCACAACACACTCCTCCAGCCGACCAATCAGAGCACAGTGTGCTTTTCAGAAGGAGGGGCTTCATAGAGACAGGAAGTAAACAGAGCGTTACTGACAGACTGGGAAGAGACGAGCCGCAACAATGGAGAATATGAGGAAAATAATCAACATTCAAACAGGAAAACCTGCTCTAGTAGAGTAATACCTTTATAAAGCATTCTACATAAAGGCTTTTGTTACCGGACTTGTTAGTTAAATAATGTAATGTCGTTAATTTTTAACCAAAAATGTCCATAGTGCAGCTTTAATGGAAACATGGATGAAAACTCCCTTAAAGTCCCCCTGTGGTGAAAATCCAGCTTTTAATGTTGTTTATATGTCTATGTGGTGTTTTTAATATGCTTTAAGACAAACCATGTATAAATTCATACGTCGACAGCATTGCTGAGTATTTTCCCCTTAAAACTGCAGTGAACCAATGACAGTCTCAAAAACACGGTTTGAAATCGCTGGTGTTTCTGACGTCACAAACTAACTTGTAACCAATCAGATCAACGTGTGATCGTCAACGAGTGGATCTCTGAGCTGAGTGAGTGAGTGGAGGCGGGGCTCATTTGCATATTCATAGAACCGCGTATACTAAATGAGGCAAGGTTGTCAAGTTGCATAGATATTTATCTATAGACAGATATATACAAGATATTTTAAGGCATGAAGAAATTTTTTCCAAGAAAAACTTTTAAAGATGTCATTTTGGTGATCAAAGATGAGTTTTTAAGGGCCCCTATTATGCTATTTTAAAGTTTCCTAATGTTGTTGTGGAGTCTCCTACAACATGTTTACTTGGATCAAAGGTAAAAAAACGGTTTAATTTTCTCATAACATACATTTGCACATCACCACATTTTCAATGATTCTCAAATGACTCATCAGATGAATCAATATCTCTAAATTCCTCCTTTCCGCAAGCAACTCTGCTCTGATTGGCCAGACAGCTCAGTCTGTTGTGATTGGTTTACCGCGTACAGTGCGAGTGTCGAAAACAAAAACGCCCATTGCCATAACAACGTCAGCTCTACTTGTCCTGATGCTTCCTACACCGTAAAACTAAACACAGTCACAAACAATGATGTCGATTTTACCATATCAATGCGAGCGCAAGTCCGATGATGAAACATTGGAAGAAACAGTCATTCAACCCGAACCTCCATCGCAAGGACGACTGGGGCAGAACGTTTCTCAGTGATACACTACTCAGTTTGAGGTACTTTATGAGATCTTGCAACTGTAATTCCTCACCATCAGCATTAACAAGTGCATATCCATCAACAAACCAAATATTTTACTTGTACTTATTTATTTACTGAGTATTTTTCTAATTTATTGCGGTGAACATGTGGAAACTGTATCAATAACAGTGGCTACATTAGCCGAGCTCTAGCGTGAATGACTGATGTAACAAACGTTGGTAAAACAAATCTTGCTCCATGCGTAATCTTGAGTAGTGAGAACGACAGACAATCTGCATTAATAGACACAGTTTTAGGTAATAGTGGCCCACAGCTGCTTGGCAGAAGTATTTCAGTAAGACAGTAATAATGTGAGTTAGCCAGTTAGCAGGAGACCTACACAATATAAAACTCAAAACTAACTATTTGAACACCATCTTTCAAGAGGAAGCGTTTTGCGAATCCTGCATTGAACTCCGAGATTTGAGAAGCAGTCGTAAGTAAAATAAAGGGAACACAGCAAAAGTTTAGGATTACACTGCTGTGATATCGTGGTAAAGATTCATTTTAACCACTGATTCTTCACATGCTCGTCCTTGGGCAGTGAAAAAAACTGGCTTTACCTTCACATTGTAGAGCACAGCGCCATCTTCTCGACATGATGCTATCCAGTATCCACAGGAATCAGCTGCCAGTTTGAGGTTCAAGTTTTCCCTGGTGTCTGAGCGCGCAATGGGTCTCATTCATGAAACACGAGCAGAACGAATTTTTGTGTAAATCGTGTGTAAAGTGGTTCTGGCGTAAATTTTCGGATTCATTAAAATGTTCGTATTTTCCAAATGTTAGTTGGTACACAAGAAATCTACACCTGCTCCCAGCCACGCGTAAATAGTGCGCTTAACACCCGAACGTTTTGCTCATTAATAAGGCTGCATTTTAATTCACCTTAATCGGGTACTTATTTGCACAGCATTTTGAAAAAATATTATATATAGTAATTACATACGGTTTTTCTTATTATGAGAGCCAGTAATAGCATCTGCGATGGTGGTCCTTCTCCAGTTTGAATACTATTTTTCCGAAGTGAACTAATTCGTTTTTTGCTCTCAAGCTTAATGTCGAACCATTTTCTTCTCACTTCTGGGAATGTTCGATTAACAGATGAAACTCCATTAACTGCATCTGTAATATGCTGCCAAGCTTCCTTTTTTTTAGGACCCGATACGCCACTATGTACGCTTGAAAATAAAATGTAGCGTTTTGAATGAACTTCTGATAATAAAACTTGTCATAAAATATGTCATATGTCATATGACTCATGTCATAATATGATGCCCATATATAGTTGTCAGTCGGATTTAATGGGCGGGATTTATGGTAATTGAGAATGAACGTGCACGCGCATCCCATTTACGACTGATTGGAATTCATTAACACACACACATTTCACTATCACGTCTGACGTTTACGAAGTATTTGTGAATCAGGAGAAGAGTTTTCGGGGAAGGTCTCTTTACGCGCAAATCACTCGCATACGACGAAACGGCTTAAGACTCGTTCGAAAAACAATTAATTTCATTGAGTCAAGAGTCGACTCTTACTTTTGAAAGACAATAACTTTATATATGGTGCACTTTCATATTTAAAACTTTGCAGGATGTTTTCATTCACTTAGAGCTATGTTACACTACATGATAGATCATTTTCAAAAATCCATAATAGGGGCACTTTAAGAGATAAAATTATTGACTGCAGGGGGACTTTAAGTCTTTTGAGATATGATAGAGCACCCTCTGAGGAGTAAAATCTTCTGAGCACATGAACTTACAATAAACTCATATTCCACTGCGCTGCCGACGTCCTCCAGTGATGTCATGGCGCTCTCGCCCATCACAGCTCCGCTGAAGAACATCCGATGAGGACGAGACAGTCTACAGGAGAACAACAAACCACAGCATATCAAGCACTTCTGAGAACGTTTAATGTGAAACATTAGACCCATTTATTGAGATATACACTGAACCCAGCAAGCAATAGCCGTCATTTCTCCGTCTAGGTTAACTATGGACCCGGTATAGTCCGGCTGTGAGTAACACACTTCCAGCCAAAATAACCTAGAATTTGGTTACATGTCGTTTTTGCCAGAATAACTTGCGAGATGTGTGATATTCCATCATGTAAGTAAAGTCAACAGTGATTACAAGCTGTTTAGTTTCATTTCTTCACTCATTTCATTTCTTTGTTGTCTAATTGATGACTAGTCTATTCTTGGGTGATGGTTTAGACATCTATTAAATGTTCACTGACAGCCCAAATTTTGCCTTGTTTTAGCCAGACGTCAGGGCTGTGTTTGGACGGCTATTAGACGTCTTTTAAATGCAAAATTGCTTGCTGGGAAGTGACATCAGCATTCATGAGAAAATAAGCTGCTATTTGAGAAAACACCAAAGATCAGAGATGAAAGTAAGTGAACACACACCCGCTGAGCACCAGAGGAAGCTCGATCACCACCCGTGCGTACGCCGTGACGGGGGCCAACGCCGGCTGCTCACTGATCCTGTGTGGGATTCACACATATGGCATGTGTGCATGGCGGAAATCATAACCTTTGTTTTGGCACTTTTTACAAAAGGGTGAATGAATCTCACAACAATATCCAGGTTGCATTTCACCGGGAAGCCATTTTTGTTTTGTGCTGAGCAAAAGTTTTATTTCTTATGCTCCAGTGCTAAATGGCCTCCTTTCCAAATAGTAAGCGGTTAGAAGAAATAACAGAACAGTCAAGATTTACTAAGAGTGAACCCTCTTTTGGTGTTAAAAAATACTGTGAGGATTTACTAAAGACGTGCAGTGAAAAATTAGCAAGGAATGACAGTTATTTTTGAGACAATAAATCCCTCCCTAACCCTACCCTATAAACACTTTATTATTAAATAATCGTTAGGCATTATAATTGCACTTTTCACATATTTTCATAACATTTATTAAAAATAAATGCCTTTTTAATGTTATTTTTAATTTGCGCTGCTCTTGGTAGATTGCGTTTGTTGGTCATTATGGAAATGATTACACGACACCAATTTTAACTAAAACTTTGTATACGTTTTGGCCGTTCATTAACATGACAGCGGTGTTTTGGTGGCCCGAGAATACCAACTTTTTAAAACAGGTTTCAAAGTGAAAGTTTTTGAAAACAATACTGATAGCACGTTTCCAGGACCATTACCCGTCAAATTACGCAAATTAAAATTTAAAATTTGAAATACGCCCAATGGAAACATATATCACAAAAAAATGTTTTTACGCTCGCATGAGGTGTTTTTTTTGGTCAATTAAAAAAAGGAATATTACGCAAAACTGCAAAGGAAACAGTTTTTTTTTTTCACATTTACAGGTCACCTGGCGTACGTAACAGTCCATCACTCTTCAAAGAAAGTATGAATGTTTGGACAGAAGACGAGACAGAGTTCTAAACTCATAAAAAACAAAGGAATTGCGGGAATACTGGATTCTAAACAACAAAGAAATACCACAATATATCAAGAGCTTGAAGCAGAAATGAGGGAGAAACACCCAGAAACTCCTCATACGTGGCGCTCAGGGGCTTTCCTCGCCATTAATGCTTGGATAACACACACACGTCTCCTTCCATTTTTTAGTCGTTTCCATGGATCCATGTGAACAAACGGGGATTGCTTTCATAACATTGTCATCTGTACAGAGAAACAAACTTTTCGTTTTTTATTACATCGTTGTCGTGTAAACGTACCCTGAATATGATTTTTAATGATCTGAATTTTAAAATATCTGTCATGCTAATTTTTATATATATATATATATATATAAAAGTAAAGGTATTTGGAGGGAAATGTGCTGTTGTCATGAAAATGATGTTACAATGCAAAATTAATATGGTAAAATTCAGGGTGAAATATGACCAAGACATTTCTTTGTGAGATTCATCCAACATTATTTGTATGATTTTGTTTTGCTCACAAAAAATTTTTTTTTTCAAATAGCAGGCAGAAATCCAAACTGGAACTCACGTAGACAGTGCGAGATGAACACTCAGTGAAGTAGTTTGTATAGTGATCGCAGAAGTGCTCAGAATAAGATAAAATTTGACCTGACATAAAGAATTAAAGGTCAATTTGAGTTTCTCAAAGGTCAGAATTGTGTAAGTGTGTATGTGAGAGCGTTACTGTACCGTCGCGTCTCTTTTGAGCGGATTACCCAGTTCACACAGCGCTTGAGAGCCGTTCTGATTGACTTCACACAACACCTTCAAAACAAGACCAGCATTAGGAAGCTAAAGCTACATTCAGACTGTCAGTCCAAATCCGGTTTTATGTGCACATCCGATTGAAATCCGATCAGAATTAGCTAATGTGAACAGCAAAACAATCACACGAAATGCGATTTTTACAAATCCGTTTCAAGCTACGTCCATATCTGGTTTGAAATCCTATTCAAATCGTATTTCTGGAAAACAGTTTCAGTCTGACTGCTCTGATCGGATTTCGCGTGGTTTATGTGGCTTTCTCACGGCACGTAAAATGTATTAACGTTATAGGAAACATGCGTAAAGTCGCTGCCGAAACAATGCAGTGCCGGACGAGCAGAAAATGACAATATAACGGAGACATATTTTGAAACCGACGGAGACGACAGCGCGGCGGCTACACATTTCAATGTTGTAAAATTGAAATAAGACAACATCTCTATTGAAAACCCCTCCATGTTGAGGTTGTTGTTGTTTTTGGTGTATTCCTTCCAACGCAACATTATTCCCATGAAACCACTGCAGATATTCCGGAAAACGAAAGAGTGGCATGGACACACACATCGGATCTGAACAGTTGCGATACACAGTGCGGACATCAATAATTTTAGATCAGATTCCAATCGGATACACAAATAATCAGATTTGGACTGACAGTGTGAACAAGGCCTATAATAAATACGACTGCATACTAGGGGTGTCACAATATACCGCAATACAAAAATGCAAAAATGCGTGGATAGATCACCCAAAATAAAAATTACTGTGTGAAAAACAAATCAAGTTTAAACAGTTTTAGTGTCAGAACTACATTAAACTACTATAAATAATGTTGAATATTATGTATAATAATGCAGTGGGGGATATTTGTGTGTCCTGATAATGCCAGATGCCGGATGTTACCAGTAAAAGTGGCCTACATTATTTTAAATACAGTATATCTAGTCAGTGACAGTGAAAGCATATTCGTCTAAAATAATTCAGTATTTTCAGCTTCAGAGTCATGAATATTGTTATTCTGGTGTCTCTATTGTCCTGTGCTTTGGGTTTCAGCACCAAGTCCAAGACTATTCATTTACACACACAATGTAATATCAAATTTAGCATTTTAATCAGTAAATTCTTTTGTTAACCTTTAACCATATGTCTTAGAGTATCGCAATATTATCGTATCATATCATGAGTTCAGTATCGTGATATGTTTTGAGTCGTGACACGAGGGCATCGCTACACTCGACACATGAGCCGCCTGATGGAGAACCTGCTGTCCCATGAGTCCAGAGTACGAGAGTGTGTTTGGCAGAGACACCATCAGCTGCGCGGCGTGAGCATCGTCTCCGTCTTCCTGAGGGGTTTCTGGGTTCGACGGCGTGTTCGTCACCGTGACCTCGAGCACGACTGACCTCTGATCCGACAGAGAGAACACCGGCACATCAGAGCCGTCTCTAAACGCAGAGGAGTTCAAACTATGAGGGCTTCATGCATTTCTTTGGTAACACTTTACAATAAGGTTCATTCGTTAACATTAGTTAACTGGGTAACACTTTACTTGAAGGGGTGTACATAAGACTGACATGACACTTTCATAATCATGACATGACACGAAATGAAGGAGGTTTTATGCATGTTTATGACAACTGTCATTAAGTGTCATTCGCTCAATTATGACATTTTTAATGCAAATATGACATTGTTTGAGATTGACATTACCAAGACAACATAAATTGTCATAAATATGTCATAAACAGGACATAGCAGATTAATTATCAAACTTAAGAAAGCACTTAGCTTTATGGGTTAACATTACATTAAACTGTCATGCGGTTGGTTTTGACATTGGCTGTCATGAGGCCATTATAACTGTGTCATGAATATTTTTCTTGACCTCAACTACCGTGGTACCAATTGAATTTGTCATTAAAATGTTATAATGGCCTCATGACAGCCAATGTCAAAACCAACCGCATGACAGTTTAATGTAATGTTCACCCATAAAGCTAAGTGCTTTCTTAAGTTTGATAATTAATCTGCTATGTCATGTTTATGACATATTTATGACAGGTTGTCTTGTCTTAGTAATGTCAAGTTGTCATGAGACACTGACAGGTTATGATGTATTGGTTTATGTCAAGTTGTCATAACAAAGACATCTCAAACAATGTCATAGATATTTGCATTAAAAATGTTGAGCGAATAACACTTAATGACAGTCGTCATAAACATGCATAAACCCTCCTTCATATTAATGACATGTGTCCTGTCATGATTATGAAGGTGTCATGTCAGTCTTATGCACACCCCTTTAAGTAAAGGTTAACATGAAATAAGAATGAACAATACTTCCTCGGCATTTATTAATCTTAGTTAATATTAATTTCAACATTTACTAACATGTTATTAAAATCAAAGGTTTAGTTAACACTGTGAACTAACATGAACAAACAATGAACAGCTGTATTTTTATTATCTAACATTAACAAAGATGAATAAATACTGTAACAAATGTATTGCTCAAAGTTAGTTCATGTTAGTTAATGCATTAACTAATGTTAACTAATTCACCTTATTGTAAAGTGTTACCTATTTTTTACATTTAACGAGTGAAATGCTTGCACTGGTTAAGGAAAATAAAAGTGAATGAAAATTAATTAATGAATGAATTGTAGAAACATTTAGGAAACATGTTCACATTTAGGATGAGTCCTGGCACATCTGTATAAACGCTCACATGACTGAGACTTCACTTCACTGAGACTTACCGCGGTAAAGGAGTGAAGGCGTGTGAAACGGGTGCTTTTGTGCCAAACTGATAGACAAGCTGAAGGTTGCTCTGGCATATTTTATCCTCGCCACACCCTTCCCTGACAAAGTTAACCTGAGAACAGACAGAAAGCTTGCAGATTCATTTTTAATGTTATACTACTGGTTCCTGATGGATTGAATTCCCATTCGGTGAACATTATAAAAGGGGAAAATGTACAGACAGCAAGTCCTTTTCAAAGCATAAACCCTGACATGAAGCACACCGCTATCATATGATGATTTAATACATGGGCATGCAATATTGAAATAAACCCTTTATCTAAAGACAGATATAAATGTAAACACGTACATTCTCAACTGCTTGATTGTTATAAAATGTAACTATATTATCGCACAGCTCAAATGTGACTATAAGGCATGAAGACATTAAGATATTTTAAAGTCCCCTGTGGTAAAAATCTAGTTTTTAATGTTGTTTACGTGTCTATGTGGTGTTTTTAATATGCTTTAAGACAAACCATGTGTAAATTCATAAGTCGACAGCATTGCTGAGTATTTTCCCCTTAAAACTGCAGTGAACCAAAGACAGTCTCAAAAACACGGTTTGAAATCGCTGGTGTTTCTGACGTCACAAACTACCTTGTAACCAATCAGATCAACGTGTGATCGTCAACCAATGGATCTCCGAGCTGAGTGAGTGAATGGAGGCGGGGCTCATTTGCATATTGATAGAATCACGCATAGTAAACGAGGCAACTGTGTCGAGTTACATTCAAGATATTTTAAGGAAAAAACGTTTAAACATGTAATTTTGGTGATCAAAGATGAGGGGATGAAATGATTTACTACAAGGGGACTTTAAAACATTAACATCATGATTTTCTATAAAGCTACTTTGAAACGATATGTATTGTGAAAAGCACTATACAAATACATTTGACTTGTCTTTCACTAGATCTAAATACGATGCCACTTTTCACAATTTGTGAAGTGACAGCCATTATTACAATATTGATTTTTTTTCCCAATTAACCATCTTGTGCTGTTCGGAAACACTTTACGTTTTGTTTTTTTGCTTTACTTCATCTGAATGGTATGAAAATTGATAAAAGTGTGAACACACAAAAAAACGTTATAGACATGATTTGAAAAGGTTAAATGGTCCTGAAAAAATGGTCACAGTTGTATTGTTCGTGTTCAACAACGAGCGCACTGGAAATGAATGGGAGGGGCGAATTTCCTCTAGTGGAAGCGTTTGGTACTGCAGCCAAACAACATCTCACTGAAAGCTCATTTTTTGAGATATCACGCTCAAGTTTGGAACACATCTTGTTTAGATTTATGGCTTTGATTTTCTCACAGTTTTAGAGTAAAACATATTTTGGAAAATATATATTTCATATAAAAAACTGAAACGGTATTTTTGTGCTTTTTTTCATAACAATAAATATAACATTTTATAACTGTTTTCAAGTTCACTTTTTTAAAAAACTTTTCATGTCAGTAATAATCTTCCAAGTGCCGTCTTTAAAAAGAGACTAAACTTCAGTCTGTGCTCTAAAGCATTCAATATTTATGACAGTTTAAATTTTCATATCCATGCCTAAAAAGTGAATAAATGTATTATAACTACTGCATAAATTTAATTTAGTGCCATAAAATCCCCTAAAAATACAAAACATTAAATAAAAAATATTATCACACTAAAATATAGTACAATAATTTCATTGAAATTATTATCCAAAAAGATTTCGGTCATTTATGAGCAACACATGAGCAGCACCAGAGGGTTAAATGTGCAACCCTACACATATTAATCTAATGTAGGACATCTCTCTCTTGAGACAAATGCACAGTCTAGAGTCATTATACACAAACATCTGAACACAGAATCAAAATCAGATTCAATAGACCAAAATCAATAGATTTTTCACATCAGCAGCGGTGGATCATGTGAAGTGCATGTGCTGTACCTCGGAGTAGAGTGTGTTGGAGGGACTGGGGCTCAGGACAGGGCTCAGCTGGTTATGGTTATGGTTATGGCCCGTGTGATGGCGGTGTCTGCTTCTCCGGATAGTGTGTGTGATCGCCAGAGACACGGGCCGCAGCTTGTCCACAATGTTTTCCTGGTGAAACGAGAACAGAAGAGTTTATACCACTTCATTGAGACCCTCCTATCATATTATGAAATGCAGCCGCAGTTTCGATCGCAATGTGTTTGAATCCCCTTGGACTGTGACACTATTTTCTTCTGGAAACAAACTTTGTTGCATTATTTTTCTATTATCTCTGTAAAGCTGCTTTAAAACAATCTGTATTGTAAAGCGCTGTATAAATAAAGCTGACATGACATGTATTGAGTGCTTATCTTCATACCAGGTGTAAAGAGCATCTCTAGCTCTACCTGCACAACTAAAGTCACGGTCTGACAGTCCGGATGTTTTTGTCCTCGTAGCTCCACTTCCACAGAATGAACAAACTCCGGCTCTGATAAACCGCGGTCCAGGAACTGAACTCTGTGAGGAAGACTCAGCTTTCTGCGCTCCACGTCTGCCTCGAAATGAACCCCGAGAGCTGATGAGACAGAGACGTTCAAACATACACGTACATCTGCACTTACAGCGGATGATGTGGGAATGTCTTACTGATGTGCGGCGAGTAGGAGTCTGGATACGCAGTGTACGAGTAGCAGGCCTTCACGTCCACACTACAGGAAGACAACACACAATTACACAGGTACAGATTTACTGACAGTCATTTTTTTAAATATCAATTTGAAATTGGATTTACCTATACTGTATGTGATTAATACACCGCCGTTCAAAAGTTTGGGATCTGTAAGATTTTTTATGTTTTTAAAAGAAGTCTCTTCTGCTCACCAAGGCTGCAGTTATTTGATTAAAAATACAATAACAAAACTGTAATATTGTGAAATATTATTACAATTTAAAATAACTGTTTTAATGTATTTTAAAATGTAATTTATTCCCGTGATCAAAGCTGGATTTTCAGCATCATTACTGACAATTATTCAGTGTCACATGATCCTTCAGAAATCACTCTAATATGATGATTTGCTGCTCAAGAAACATTTATGATTATTATCAATGTTTTAAAAAATAAATGTTTATGTAAAAATAAAAATCTGGATTCTTTGATGAATAAAAAGAACAGCATATATCTGAAATATAAAAAAGCTTTTTTTGTAACATTACACTCTACCGTTCAAAAGTTTGGAGTCAGCAAGAATTTTTTTGGGGGGGATTAAATAAATCAATACTTTGATTCAGCAAGGACACATTAAATTGATCAAAAGTTACAGTGAAGACACTTGTAATGTTACAAAAGATTCTATTTTAAATAAATGAAACAGAATTTTCTATTCATCAAAGAATCCTGAAAAAAATAGTTTTCAACATTGATAATAATCATAAATGTTTCTTGAGCATAAGATCATCATATTAGAGTGATTTCTGAAGGATCATGTGACACTGAAGACTGGAGTAATGATGCTGAGAATTCAGCTTTGATCACAGGAATAAATTACAGTTTAAAATATAGAAAACGGTTATTTTAAATTGTCATAATATTTAACAATATTACAGTGTTTTTTCTTTTGTATTTTTAATCAAATAAATGCAGCCTTGGTGAGCAGAAGAGACTTCTTTTAAAAACATAAAATCTTACAGATCCCAAACTTTTCAATGGCAGTGTGTGTATGATGAATCATTGTGCTTGTAGTTTCCAAGCAAGATGTCATAAACACAATGAAAAAGTATGAGTAAAGTAACTCCTGACCAAACTCCGTCGTGGCCCTGGCAGTTCTGCTGCGTGAGATCGATGTACTGAGGCTCGATGGAGATCTCTCGGATCACGTGGACCACTGGACGTGACCTGGTGGACAACAATAAATTGTATGAAAATGTATGGTTGTCGGTACTGCGCCCAAACAAAATCTCACTGAAAGCTTATTTTTTTAGATATCAACCTAAAATTTGAAACACAACTTGTTCAGAGTTTTGGTTTTGATTTTCTTGCAGTTTTAGAGTCCACCAAGTTTTGAAAAAATATATTATATATAAAATATGAATAATTACATTTTTACATTTTCATAAACTCAAACTTCTATAAATGTATTTAACCTCTACAAAAATCGGCCAAATGTCTTCTTTAAAACAAGACCAATCTTACATCTATATTCCAAAGCATTCTTGAATTACAACCATTTAAGTTCGGATTGTGCATTTTCATGTTTATTCGAAAAAGGGGGCGCGACACTTAAGAGGTTAAATGACTGCCATTGCATCCGCTGTAACGGGTTTTAGAGCTCGAGTGTCAAAAACATAGATCTCACCTGTAAAGCACGATCTTATCACTGAGGGAGCCGACAGCTAGATCTGGATAAAAATTCCCATCAACATCTAGTCCTCCAGATATAGAATAGCCCAGTCGCTTGACTCCTGCATTAAGCCCATCCAGAACCTTCACATGAGGATAAATATACAGCTAATTTTATTCAAAACACTGTGATGACACTGCTGTGTGAATATTGATAAATCTATTCAGTAAACAGAACCTTGAGCATGGGACTGAAAGCTGTTTAGAATCAATATCACATGCTGTTGTTGTTCTGGATATCTTAATATTTTAGCCTTGTAATGTTGCTTCAATTCAGTTCAAATTAATCTTGGATAACTGACATTTTACACCATATTGCTTAAATTTTGTGTGTGTGTGAGAGAGAGAGAGAGAGAGAGAGAGAGAGAGAGCGTGTGGTGTGTGTGTGAGAGAGAGAGAGAGAGAGCATGTGTGTGTGTGTTTGAGAGAGAGAGAGAGAGAGAGAGCATGTGTGTGTGTGTTTGAGAGAGAGAGAGAGAGAGAGAGAGAGAGAGAGAGAGAGAGAGAGAGAGAGAGAGAGAGAGTGTGAGAGAGAGTGTGTGTGTGTGTGTGTGTATTAGAGAGAAAGTTTGCCTGCGAAGGTTTGGTATCAATGCCAGATGAAGAGCCACGGTAAATAAAAACTTTCCCGTCTCCATCAAACGGGGCTCCGACAGCAATGTCTGAAAACAAACACATTCAGATTCCAGTTTGACTAGATTTTACAGAACATTATACACAAGATGCGCGTACACCCTTGTGTAATATCTCTAAACTATCAAATAATATTGGATAATAATTGCATTATTTCTAAGTTCACATGTGGAGTATTTCGTCTTATGAACAACTTTCTTATTGAAAGTACAGAGGGAGCTCACAGGCAGAAAGCGGGAGTTAACCGGAGTCACCTCTGACATATGTGCGGCCGGATACACAAGTCCGGTATCCACAAAGTCACAGGAAAAAGACATATGAAACATGAAGCCAAAAAAGAAAACATGATTATAATCATATATGATTTATCTAAGTTCTTAAAGCAGTCTCTGGTGTTTTTCATTAGCATATGTGCATGTAGAACCTCGGATTCGGGAGGAACAGTGCGGTTTTCGTCCAGGCCGTGGAACACTGGACCAGCTCTATACCCTGTCCAGGGTGCTGGAGGGTTCATGGGAGTTTGCCCAACCAATCCACATGTGCTTTGTGGATTTGGAGAAGGCATTCGACTGTGTCCCTCGCGGCGGCCTGTGGGGGGTGCTCCGGGAGTATGGGGTCCGGGGTCCTTTGCTAAGGGCTGTCCGGTCCCTGTACGACCGGAGCAGGAGCTTGGTTCGCATTGCCGGCAGTAAGTCAGACTTGTTCCCGGTGAATGTTGGACTCCGGCAGGGCTGCCCTTTGTCGGCGGTTCTATTCATAATTTTTATGGACAGAATTTCTAGGCGCAGCCAGGGGCCGGAGGGTGTCAGGTTTGGGGAGCACGCTATTTCGTCTCTGCTCTTTGCGGATGATGTTGTCGTGTTGGCCCCTTCAGACCAGGACCTTCAGCATGCACTGGGACGGTTTGCAGCCGAGTGTGAAGCGGCCAGGATGAGAATCAGCACCTCCAAATCCGAGGCCATGGTCCTCAGTCGGAAAAGGGTGGTTGCCCACTTCAGGTTGGTGGAGAGTTCATGCCTCAAGTGGAGGATTTTAAGTATCTTGGGGTTTTGTTCACGAGTGAGGGAAGGATGGAACGGGAGATTGACAGACGGATCGGTGCAGCTTCTGCAGTAATGCGGTCGATGTACCGGTCTGTTGTGGTGAAGAAAGAGCTGTGCCGCAAGGCAAAGCTCTCGATTTACCGCTCAATCTACGTTCCTACTCTCACCTATGGTCATGAGCTTTGGGTCATGACCGAAAGGACAAGTTCCCGGATACAGGCGGCCGAAATGAGCTTTCTCCTCAGGGTGGCTGGGCGATCCCTTAGAGATAGGGAGAAGCTCGGTCACTCGGGAGGAGCTCAGTGTAGAGCCGCTGCTCCTCCACATCGAGAGGGGTCAGCTGAGGTGGCTCGGGCATCTGTTCCGGATGCCTCCTGGACGCCTTCCCGGGAAGGTGTTCTGGGCGCGTCCCACTGGGAAGAGACCCGGGGAAGACCTAGGACACGCTGGAGGGACTATGACTCCCGGCTGGCCTGGGAAAGCCTCGCTGTCTCCCCGGAAGAACTGGAGGAAGTGTCTAGGGAGCGGGAAGTCTGGGCATCTCTGCTTAGACTGCTGCCCCCGCTCCAGATAAGCGGAAGAAGATGGTGTGGTATATGTGCATTTCTTATGCAATGGTTAGCACAAGTAGCCTTTAGCATTGTATATAAATATACTTCCCTATTGGATCACAATCAGAAGTTTTTTCAGACATTCTCTGGTGTCTATGAGTGAGTTTTGAGTTGTTGTAAATGAATGTTGAGGATAACTGGTAGCCTGATAAGAAAAAATGGAAAACAATAGAGGTGGACAAGTATTGATAAAGTAATTGATGTGAATCTCAGTCATGGAAAGTGTATTGAGTTCCTATTGCAGGGAATTGTATTTTTAATACAGTAAATCTAATCAGAAAAAGGTTTTAACTTAACATGAGAGAAAATACTCTCCTGTTCAACTCAGAGGTAATGCAATTACTGTAAGTTTTAAAATAGTTTTCAATTGTTAGTTATGTTGCACAGGGGTGTACTTACTTTTGTTGCATACTGTAACTGTAATATGATATAACATAAAAAAGAGGATCAAACAATTAACCGTGTAACTTTGTACAAATAACCGAACCTGGAGTTCAATCTAATCTGCTTTTCCGAGATTTCACAATGACAAAACACACTTGCCTATGTGTGTTATTTTCCTCTTACCTTCATAACCATCCCGGTCCAGATCTCCAGTGCTGCCGACGGTCATCCCGAACATGGAGTCACACGTCCCGTTGAGTCGGATCGGGCGGGCCTTTTCCCAGTGGCCGGCTGGGTTCAGAAACACATACACCGCTCCTCCAATCTCTGCCTTTCGGTCGAAGAAATTGGGAGCTCCCACTACAAGATCTGTCCAACTGTGGAGAAATCCTCCAGTTAGATCTTGAGCACATCAGCTTTACACAGGAGCATGTTAAAGGCCCCTTTTAAGGATCTAAGCTCATGGTATAAAGTGCACTCAGTGCATGTCCGAATCCACTTTTGCTAGTTTAACGACGGGAAAAATGGTCAGCGCTCCCGGCGCATGGTCTAAAAGTGTCGTCTCTATTCTCTTAATGAGTATTGGGTGTGTTTTGTCTCTATTCTCTTAATGATTAATGGGTGTGTTTTGGGCGTAACGTGCAATAATCCAATCAGAGTCTCTTCTCCCATTCCCTTTAAAAGACAGTTGCCCTCGCGCTATGGCGGATTCGCTATTTGCATGGAGGAATTTCCAAGCGGAAAAACTGAACGCTTCTCTAGTGAGGAAACGGATCTGCTCATGTGCGAGGTTAAAGCTGTGTGTGTGTGTGTGCGAGGTTAAAGTGCAAGCAGAACATCTACGGGACAAGCCGGATTCTACCATATCTTTATGTACACAATAATAAAAACTTTTACATTGTAATCCTTTTATTTTTAATATTTGGCTAGTTTGTGTCCTGCTGCGCGTCCCTGTGTGTGTAATAAGCAGAGTGTGTGTGTAATAAGCAGAGTGTAGCGCGTTGTGGACCTGCCTATAGCCTCACATTACTAACACACTCTTTAAATAACAAAAAAAAAATACTGCACCATTGACTTTAGACAAGGTTTCAGTTGATCAATGGCTCAGTCTATTTCAGTTTCTCAAAATAGCAACGGTCCAACACACACCTGGTTCTCACACCAGCAGCCCATGGGCATTTGCTATTTAAACAATGTGGTGCAGGACGTGAAAATGATAACAGCGTCGGGCTGAAACTAGCAAAACCCATTGGGTATTGTATTGCATACACCCGCATTGTGCCGGGTGTATGAGAGGGCCCTGTGTCTTCTTACCCATCGCTGTTCAGATCAGCAGTGGCCACAGAATAGCCGAAGGAGGAGGCCAGTTCCTCGCCCCACAGAATATGCTCAGGCATCAGCCGGTAGACGTTGTCCTTCCGCAGCAGAACCACGGCTCCTGTGTGATTGGCTCGAGGAGCTCCGGCCACCAGCGTCAGCTCAGACTTACTCATCAGACCTTTGGCTGAGTCCACAGAGAAGCCTGGGACACATTCATATCAACAAAGTGATGATTTTGTACCTGATTTCACATGAACTTGAGTGGAATTGAGATACGCGAGTGTATTCATGTTGTCTGGATACCACTATCAGCAGTCAATGTCAATAGATTTGGAAATTGGAAATCTATTCAAATATTGCATAGAAAAAGTTCTGCCACAATGTTCTTTGTCTACAAACCCAGGTAGCTGTTCTGAGAGACGTCCTCGAAGGAGCTTTTGGACGGTTCCAGAGTTTTATAGACCAGGGCGTCCTCAACAGGACTGGCCATAAATAATAGACCTGAGCGTACAGACAGACGGACAGATACAGCGAGAGAATAGTTCAGATGATTTAGAGAGAAAAAATCCACATCAATTCATCAAAAGCAATTTTACAGGGACAACTACACAAATGATCTAATAGCCGAAAATGTCTGTCTTAAAGTCCCCCTGTAGTCAATTATTGTATCCCTTTAAACTCATGTTTGATCACCAAAATGACATATTTAAACGTTTTTACCCTGAAAAATATTTCTTCATGCCTTAAAATACCTTGAATGTAACTTGACACCCTTGCCTCATTGAGTATACGCGTTTCTGTGAATACGCAAATGAGCCCCGCCTCCACTCACTCACAGCAGCTCAGAGATCCACTCGTTGACGATCACGCGTTGACCTGCGATGTGTTTCCCGAAAGCATCATTAGCCAACTATGGTCACAAGTTCCAATTGTTAGTACAACGAGTCTGTGTTTCCCAAAAACATCGTTCCAACGAACATTCGCAAACAGCATCGCAAAGTAGTGTGTTTGGAACGACATATCTCAAGTTGTGGTTAGGAGCAGTGTTTCATGTTTGCATGACATGTGGAGTCAATAAATCCTGATCTTGAGCAAAATAAGAAAGTTAACATTCAGTACAATCTGTATCTTTTATTTAGAATACATACAAATATCATTTACGTCTTTTAGTTTGTCAAGAGATTTAAAGCGTTGTTTTTGATGTTCGCATGTGCAAACGTGCTCTAGCCTATGATTGAATCTGGAAATAAAGCAAAATAACTGAGAAAAATTAGAAATAGTCGTAAGATGCCATGTCCGTAATTTATAGCAAAACATCTCGCATTAGTTTGATCTCAAACAGTTTCATTAACAGTAGTTATTACTCCAACACCTGCGTGAAATCATTAACCAACGTGGTTGAACGACCAATTTGCGACAAAATGGTTTCGGGAAACAGTCGTGACTAGCTAGTTGATTTCTTCAACGATGCATCGTACTATGGTAGTGAAGCAGCGAATTACGTCGCTGTACGGGAAACACACTCCAGATTGGTTACAAGGTAGTTTGTGACGTCAGAATCACCAGCGATTTTAAACAGTGTTTTTGAGACTGTCTTTGGTTCACTGCAGTTTTAAGGAGAAAATCCTCAGCAATGGTGTCGACTTATGAATTTACACATGGTTTGTCTTAAAGCATATTAAAAACACCACATAGACATATAAACAACATTAAAAGCTGGATTTTCACTACAGGGGGACTTTGACATATTTACATAGTCATAGGAAAACAATTAATCAATCATAAATGTCCTAATATCATTTGAGGCCTATATGTGACCATTTGGTTTCACTTTATTTTGACAGTTCACTTTAGACATTCTACGAACTATAAGTAACTTTGCAACTACATGTCAACTAACTCTCATTACTGTGTGTTCACACCGGACGTGAATAGCGCGTCAAATTCGCGTCTACCGCGTCTAGTTTGACGCTTTACCACTTTGTGTTAATTCGCGTGTCAATGGCGAAATTGAAGAGCGTAAAAACAAAAGTTTGAAGCGAAATTTACGCGCGTCAGAGGCGAAATCCGGAGGCGAAAGTTTCGAAACCCGTTGGCGGCCATCTTTTTAGATGTTTATCGAGCATTAGCATTAGCATTATTCGAGAGAGTCACCGCTCGTATATGCTCTGGAGAGCAGAAACAGCTCCGTAGGGGACCTCGTCGCTGTACTCGGGTCCACCAGAACCTCCGGAGGGTTTCAGGAGTTTCACAATTTGCCCCAGGAGCTAGGTTTGGTGGACCTAATGGTGAGGACGCCGACGAGGACAGCGCAGGCCGTATAAGCCCTCGGCCTCGAGTGGTCTAGCTATGCCTGTCGAGCCCGCGCTCTACAGCCCGGCGCGAGGTTCACCCTCGCCCGCATCCACCTAATCTGTCATTTATTTTTGTTTTGATAATAAATGAAGCCAGCCTCCAAAAGTGATTAATCTGTCCTGTGATTTTTCTCTCTCTCTCTCACACATCACTGTCCAGACACGAACTTATATGTTGGTTGTCTTTACATTATAATAATATTTCATATAATCTAGATATGGAATAAATAGCATTCAATGCAAAATGAATATGTCTCATATATTGAAATCAAGTTTTATGTGATAAAATATTTGCTTTGTTGTGCATTAGAACCACAGTCATATATTACAAAATAATTTATTGAAGCATCCAGATACTTCACCACGTGACAGCAGCAAGCAGCTAGGCTCCTGATTGGTTAACGCGGCGCGAATTGACGCAGAAGTTCAGATTTTTCAACTCGGGCGGCAGACGCGAATTCGCGTCAAACGCGTGAATGCACAAATAGCACTAACTAAATCATTCGCGCGTAACGCGCTTAACGCGCCAGACGCTCAATTCGCGCCATTCGCGTGAACTTGACGCGCGAATGAGGCGTATTCGCGTCTACCGCGCCGCGCTCTACGCCTCATTCGCGCCGCAGGAATTTTTTACGCGCGTAACGCGTCTTTGCATTGACTTAACATTGAAATCACTCGCGCCTGACGCGCTATTCGCGTCCGGTGTGAACACACCATTAGAGTATTAGTAGACTGTTAGTTTCGGGTTAGTAGAATAAGTTGACATGTAGTTGCAAAGTAACTTATAGTCAGTAAAATGTCTGAGAAGGATTAAAATAAAGTGTTATCAGATATTAATCAGACAGTCTTATACTCTAATGACTGCTGGTTAAAATGAAGTTGCAAAGTTACTTAAAGTCAGTAGAATGTCTAAAGTGAACTCAAAATAAAGTGTTAACAATCATTCAAATGAGTGGTCCAATATAACGTCGAAAAGCTCTCAATCCCATTACCTTTCCAGTTGTAGGTACCCGGAGCCCCGAACACGATGTAGTTTTTGTCCGGTGTGAAGCTAGCAGACAGACCCTGCTGACAGAACCCAAACTGCTCGTGTCCATGAGAACGACCTTCGCAAAACTTCCACTCTCCCCCGTCCAGATCATCTCTCTCAGTCAAATCCTCACTCAGCACATAACAGCGTCCGATCGGATCACGGGTCTCAAACTTCTGGTTGACATGTTGTCTGAGCTCATAGAGGTGAGCACATGTCTGTGAGATGACATTAGAACAAAAACAGGACACATTTAGGACACATTCTACCCATTCCCATTTTACCCTATTTTTATTTGATTTTCCACACTGACAGTCCGCGTTGCAAGCAAGCAGTGGTGAAGGAAGTACTTAAGTTGCATTGAATTCCATCTTTCTTTACACCCATGAACTGTGGGTGTTTTGAGGACACGAAGGATACGCTTGATGCATCCTTCAAAATATGCTAAATGAAGGATGCTAAAAGAAGGCTGCCTTCTCAAGGATTTTTAAAATTGAGATGGTCTTTGACGGCGCTTGGCAGTGTTATGACCCTGTCTTTTTATTGTCTACCTGATGGTGGCAGTATAACATCTGACTGTGACGTCACTGTTAATTAGATCATTTATGGGTGGAGAGTATAAATGTTTGGACTGATCTACCCAGCGTTAATTCTGGTGGAACGTAGTTCTCCAGAGAAGTCGTTTGCTCCAATTTGTTTATTATTTACCAACATTCATTACCCCATTTATTTAAATCCCTAGACATGGTGTTATATTTCTGTATCAGATCATTTTTTTCTTAATAAATAATCTTGCAATGCAAACCCTTGGTTTGTATGCGTAATCCTCTTTATGTTACAGTTGGGAACGAGCTGGCCGTGACAGCAGCCAAGGTTACTAGGATGCAGCCAATGGTTACATCCGAAATCGAACTCTTCCCCACTATATAGTATGAGAAAAAAGTATACAAAAAGAGTAGTTTGTCCGAATACATAGTATTGGAAGAACAGTAGGCGAAAAGTACCCGGATGATCTACTACTTCTGGCGAGATTCTAAAGTGTGCATATGATGGACGCTTTACTATCCCATGAGGCCACGGGAGAGGATTTACCTCAGTGACACTGGTAGGTCATATGATAATGACAACATGGCGGATATTGTATGTCCGGATTACATTCATACTACCCATATTCATACTATAAAGAACATACTATTTTAACAATCCAGAAGAAATTTCAAATTCAAATGAGTACCTACTCAGAGAGTATGCGATTTTGGACGCCTCGAAAGATTAGCCCTGATCAATAATACCTGCTAATCAAGGTGTTCAGGTTTACTTCAAAATAGCAAGCATGTGTGCTGGAGCAGGATTGGAGATGAAATCTGGATGTAATTATCCCTCCAGGAGCAGGTGCAACCCCGCCGGTCCTACTCGTCCCGCTCCACCCGGGTCGTGGCACCATTAGCCCTGTTTCCACCGCAGGGGTGGTACTCGGTGTGTTGCAGTTTATTTTAACCACCAATTTTGCGGTCTGTTGCGGTGTGTGCTGTAAAAGTTGTTTGGTATTCGAATCAACAAAGAAGTTAAAAAAATACGACTGATGGACCGACGACGAGGTTCAGGCTTTATTAAGCTTAAATTCAGCGGATGAAATCCAGCGGGAACTGTAAAGTAGTGCACAGTCCTACGTCACCGGACTAGTCTGCCTAATCTTCCTGGTACTTTAGGCCGCGATTGAAACACGCAGAAACACGAACCGGGACTCGGACGTGCTAACGAAGAAGCTAAAGACTGCAGTCTCTAGCGGCAGTCGCTAGTGCGCCTCTTGAGATCAGGGGAGTGAGGTTTACCTGCACAGCTCTCACTAGATGGCCTCCATGACACTCGACCCCTAAACCTCACTCCCATCCGGGTCATGACACCAGTGTAACCAGGGCTTGACATTAACACCCGCCAATTTCAGCGGTGGCATGTAACGCAATAACTAGCCACTTTGGCGGGTTGAATTTTAAACAGGTATCTGAAATAATAAACTAAGTGCAATCTAGTGTTGTCGAAAATAATCCATCATCTCAATCATCTCTCCGATAGCGAGTTCACAAAACCCACGTCCCTTTACTCACTCGTTTCATTTGCTCTGGATGAATATTGTTGGTGTTACAGGGCTTGCATTATGGTGAAGGATTGCGTGTATTGACCATAATTTTACTCATTCTCGCAGGTTTTGTGCTCACACCCAAAGTCCGCGCACATAAAGACAAGTATTAGCTATATAAATCAGTATAAGTGGTCCGTGCGTCAGGTCTTAAAGCTACAGCAGCCAAATATACCGGCTGCCAAATTATGAGATAATATTAAAAAGATCTATATGGCAGTTTTTTCCCCATGTTATCGATGTCAACACTGTGGCGTGTGAAAACGCTGAGTGGCTTGTAACTTTGGAAAACCACTAACCACAGTGGCTGGTGAGCAAAAAAGTTAAAGTCAAGCCCTGATTGTAACCCCTCCGGTCCAACTCGGTCTGCTCCGAGCCGGACTCGAACCCGAGTGTCCGGCATTGGGAGGCGGAGATGCTAACAAGGACGTTAATATCACAGTCTCTAGCGTTATCTCTCACTAGCTGGCCTCTGTTACACAGGGTTTATAAACTCTACTGCAGGATTTTATACATAGCCAATGACTGCTTCACATCAGATCTGTCTGATCTACCCGTCACAGGTATAACATATACTCACCACCACTTTTCCACCAATCCCTTGACTTTTGACTGTGACTCCCAACCACTGGTTGTCTTTGCTCATCTGTTCCGGACTCACTTGAGAAAACAAGAAACATTCTTCCTTGAATGGACACTTAGCTTAGCAGAGATAATAGTTCATCACATGAAAATGAAGCTGAAGTGTTACCATTTCCATCGATGTCCACCCGTTCACACTTCTCCGATGTAACTGGACAGCGATACAGAGCACCGGGACGGATGGTCTGCAAAGTTCCCACGCCTCGGGCCTGAGGAGCCCCAACCAATATCCTGCAGAGGAAGAACAACTGTTTTACCCTCATCCTTCCCTCGGGTCATTTTGACCCGGAATGTTTTTATTTATTTTTTTATTAAAAAATGTGAGTGTTTATCAGATGGGTCCAAGACCCCAGGACTTTTGTCGCACGTGAACCATGAATACACACACACACAAATTTTTTTATGGATTTGAGGAGTTTTGTGGTTGAAATTTAAGCAACAAATCCTTCCCTCGTGGGTCAACTTAGCCACCCTTAGAAATGAATGGAATGCGAGGAATGCTTCAGTACACATAGAAAACCTAAAAATGCTAAAAATTTACCAAAAAATATTTTTTGTAAACATCTACATGTGTTTCTGAATGCATACTAAAGAGAAACTGACTTTAGGACCCAGAGGAACAGCTCATTTGCTCTATATAGAGCTATAAGGCCATCTAGAGTCATGAAATATCATGTTATATAATTTTTCCACATGAGGTCGGCAAAGACACCCAATGTAAGATATTTTGAGCTGAATTAAAAGGGTAATGCATGAAATTGTGAGTTATTCTGAATTTAAATTGAAATAATGTGAGGAATGTGCTTAAATTACTATTTATTTATTATTTACTGATCAAATCTAGTCATTTAAAGGTAAATAAAATAATAAAATAACAAAAAAATCTCCCAAAAAATTGATTTAAAAATGGAAAAACATGAAAATGAAAAAAATAAGCTTTCTGGACAAAAAAAAAAAAGTATAATTTTAGGGCTTCATGTCATTTTGACCCACGAAGGAAGGATGAGGTTCTGTTTCTAGTCTAACTCGTAAACACTGTTTATGAAGAACTTACTTTACTAGAGCTGCCACATTGGCCTTTCTAATTTCTCCCATTCATTGTAATACCAGTGATCCATCTAAGGATCTACGGACTTCTTTTGCTTTGGATAAGGTTATCGCTCCACCATCAGCCAAACACTGAACAAGAATGATGTACATTTAAAACAACAATAAGGAAGGGAGTGCAAGTAGGTCATTTCTGCCTGTGTAAAGTTTGCCAAAGTGCATGTGGATCAACCAGAAGACTGTAATGAAGACTACTTTATTATGTGGACAGATGAGTCCAAAAATACTCAGTGCCCAGGTCCCGGTGTTCGGCCAAATTGTTTATCATTGAGTTATTGTATTGAATCAATTCACATTTGGTTCCTCAGTGCTCGCCTGACAGCACAGGGGTGTCAGTATGATGTTCGGTGTAGATGTACTTCCTCTGGACCAAGACGTTTTGCCATTCGCTGACTGATCTTTAGATTCTGTGTTATACAAGAAAATCGTCTCAGGTTACTACTGTAACCATAGTTCCCTGAGAAAGGGAACGAGACGATGCGTCAAGTGACGCATCGCAAGTTCCCTCGAAAGGGAACTACAGGAGCATTTGATGGTGTAATACTGTATTTATTGTAACGTGTTACTCTGTCCTGTGGCTCGTATACACCAAACAATATGTGCTCATTCTGCTCAAATTTCTGTTCACTAACTTCAGTTCATACATCAGGAAATGTTTGGGAGTTCCACGCTGCCTCAGCAGAGTGGGACTTTATAGTAAAGGAATATTGCAGCTGCCAGTCTCTGCTTTAACCGAGGAGTTTAAGTGTGCCAAGGTCAGACTGGAAATGACCTTAGTAGAGTCACGCGACAAATGTGTAAGGGAGGCAGCCCCTGTGTTAAAAACTGGTAGAAAGTGGTCAGCAAAGAAATCTGTAGTAGAGGCAAAGGCTGCCCTTCAAATTGGGGATATCGTGGGACAGGTACAGCATGGAAGAGGGGGTTTTGGGCTCAGTTTAGCTCCTCCTAAATGGCACAAGGCAGGCCCAGCTCAAAGGAGGAAGCTGGTAGTCAACGAGATGCGAAAGCAGGAGGAGAGGATGAGGTGTATAAAGGCCATTTCCCAGGCCAAGCAGGGAGAGTGGATGAGATGGGAGAGTGTGGAACAACGTAAGATGGGCTGGCAAGACCTTTGGTCAATGGAAGAGAGTAGGATCAGTTTCCTTATTAGGTCAACATATGATGTTCTCCCATCACCGCAGAACCTAAACCTCTGGGTAGGAGAGGATCCCTCTTGTCCTTTGTGTTCATCACCTGCCACATTAAGGCACATTTTGACAGGATGTAAGGTGGCTCTTAGCCAAGGTCGGTTTACTTGGCGCCATGACCAAGTACTGCGATGTTTGGCTTTAGCATTAGAAGGCAAGCGTAACATGACCATTAAGTTGCCGCCTGTTCTAGCAAAACATTACACGCAGAAGACAATATTCCTCCGCCCAGGCGAGCAACCACCAAGAAAAGGTGTTAACACCAACTCTCGCCCAGGACAACTGGAAGCTGCTAGGGACTGGAAGATGCTGGCTGATCTTGATCAACGGCTTATTTTTCCACCCGAGTTTGCCACCACTAACCTACGACCAGATATTGTTTTGTGGTCTGGATCAGCACGCATTGTTCAACTGATAGAGTTAACAGTGCCATGAGAGGATGTGGTAGATGAGGCATGTGAGAGGAAGAAACTGCGGTATACTCATCTGGCCACTGAAGCAGAACAGCGAGGATGGAGAGTCCAGGTTTATCCAGTGGAAGTGGGTTGTCGAGGTTTTGTGGCACACTCTACAACCCGGTTCCTCAGAGACATCGGATTCAGCGGCCAAGAGTTGCGTCGCACAGTAAAGAACTTATCTGAAGCAGCAGAAAGGAGCAGCAACTGGCTGTGGTTGAGACGGAAAGATTCTAGCTGGCTGTGTACAGGCCGCCACGCTACGGTTTTGTAGAATTCTTGAAAACTTGAAGAGTCTGTTGGTTTGTTTGTATACGATCCTGTGGATATTGCGTGAATGACGGGTGGTTGGCAGAGGTGGGTAGTAACAAAGTACATTTACTTCGTTACATTTACTTGAGTATTTTTTTGGAAAATTTGTACTTTTAAGAGTGGATTTAATTTTGGGTACTTTTACTGTAACTCGAGTACATTTCTAATGAAAAAACTGTACTTTTACTTCGTTACGTTGGGTGACGTTCCTCTCGTTACTTTATTTTAATGCAATATGTTGTTAAAAGCGTAGTTTATTCTAAGCGCGCGCTCTCTCTTTTTTCTGGGCATGAGCAATGCTCAATTCACAAATGAATCACTCTTTTGAGTCGATTCTGTTCAAAGACTTCATCAAACAAGTTGGGCAGATCTGTCTAAATCGGTTCGCGAATCAGTTTGAATGATCTGTTCAGTTTCCTGCACGAACTGAATCGTCTCGGAGTCGTAACAGGAAGATTTAAGAACATCAAGAGCGTTGTATGAAGTGGCGGTCCACATTCTACAGTAGCTACAGTCTAGAAAGTAAATCTGCAAATGCATCATATTTTTTTGCCAGCGATGAAGATCTTTTAGTTGAACATCTTCGTATGTTACTTCGTAAGCTGTCTGTGAATGAATTATTCCACACGACGATACATTCGATTTCATGTGCCTTTGAGGTACATTTTACAACCAAACAGATTATTACGCCATATAGCACTACTACAAAGTATGACATTACCCTTTTTTTGGACATATACATTACTTTATAGTTATACATTAAATAAGCTATCATCGTCCAGTTTATGAATGTGTGTACACACACAATGTGTGTGTATTGCGCAGTGGCGTGCGAACTCGACTTGAAAACGAATGCCTTTGCCTGCCTTATTAGACTCAGTTAACCAGTTTAAAGATGCTTTCATAAATATAGCCTACTGTACATTTAAATACATTTTGGAGAACAGACAGAAGAAGATCCTTGCATTTGATCGTTGTTAGTGTTGGGCATGCATGATGACTGCGAGCACATGTGCAGAGTTTTAACTCTTTCTAATCTGTGTCAATGGTTCCCACCCCTTTACATATGAATGCAAAACTCCATAGAGTCACTTTATTCCGACATTGTCTAATAATCCAAATGTAGTTGTATAAGTTACTATACTATTATACAAACCAAAGGACAGGCAATGGTTTTCAGGCTACAGATATAATATACAGATAAACAGAAATAATGTTTGTCTCTTCTGTTTTTGTTGCAAAGATAGCTTATCTAATTATGATAATAATAGTAATTTAAATGAAAAAAATATCTAAATAATATCATGTTATACACTCACCGGCCACTTTATTAGGTACCCCATGCTAGTAACGGGTTGGACCCCCTTTTGCCTTCAGAACTGCCTCAATTCTTCGTGGCATAGATTCAACAAGGTGCTGGAAGCATTCCTCAGGGAGTTTGGTCCATATTGACATGATGGCATCACACAGTTGCCGCAGATTTGTCGGCTGCACATCCATGATGCGAATCTCCCGTTCCACCACATCCCAAAGATGCTCTATTGGATTGAGATCTGGTGACTGTGGAGGCCATTTTAGTACAGTGAACTCATTGTCATGTTCAAGAAAACCAATTTGAAATGATTCGAGCTTTGTGCCATGGTGCATTATCCTGCTGGAAGTAGCCATCAGAGGATGGGTACATGGTGGCCATAAAGGGATGGACATGGTCAGAAACAATGCTCAGGTAGGCCGTGGCATTTAAACGATGCCCAATTGGCACTAAGGGGCCTAAAGTGTGCCAAGAAAACATCCCCCACACCATTACACCACCACCACCAGCCTGCTCAGTGGTAACAAGGCATGATGGATCCATGTTCTCATTCTGTTTACGCCAAATTCTGACTCTACCATCTGAATGTCTCAACAGAAATCGAGACTCATCAGACCAGGCAACATTTTTCCAGTCTTCAACTGTCCAATTTTGGTGAGCTCTTGCAAATTGTAGCCTCTTTTTCCTATTTGTAGTGGAGATGAGTGGTACCCGGTGGGGTCTTCTGCTGTTGTAGCCCATCTGCCTCAAAGTTCGACGTACTGTGCGTTCAGAGATGCTCTTCTGCCCACCTTGGTTGTAACGGGTGGTTATTTGAGTCACTGTTGCCCTTCTATCAGCTCGAACCAGTCTGGCCAT